GTGGTGTGTAGTGTGGTGTGCGTGTGTGTGTGTAGTGTGGTGTGTGTGTGGTGTGTGTGTGTGTGTGGTGTGTCGTGTGGTGTGTGTGTGTGGTGTGTGTGTGTGTGTGTGTGTGTGTGTGTGTGTGTGTGTGTGTGCGCGCGCGCGCGCGCGCGCGCTTGTAAACCCTCCTAAATGGGGACCGAAGTCCGCTACACTCTCGCAATGTGAGGACCGTTTCAAGGTGGGGACCAAAAATAGGTCCCCATTTTGCAAACCAATTGGAAAACGCTAATTTCGTCCAGATATTGGTCTGGTATCAATCCCTTACACGTTCAAACATGGTAGGCTTTGTCCGTCAAGTGTATGTTTCGTGATCACCTGACTTAGGTCGATTTAGACAAAACCGCCGGAGAAGTTTCTCGCCTTTCGACTCAGATGTGTGACGTCATCTTTGAATAGATGTGTCCTGATCATGTTGTCACCTTAAATGGAACGTGCAGTGTTGATTTCACACGACAGAATCAGTTCAATTAACTAAATGATTACACGTGTTTATTTTTATTTGCCTTAAAGCGTTTCATAATGATAAAACGTTAAAAATCATGTAGTTTGGCAGGGCACATGTGTAGTAGCCATCACCACTGACTGTTATGGCAGACCTTGGCCGCGAGTTAGAACGCCGTTGGAGTGTCGCGTCGCGCGGTTACTGGATGTGGGGACGTCGGATATTACTGTGTGTTGTTCCTGTTGGCTGTCACGATATCGTAAGTACTGATTACTGCATATTGTTTTGTACTGGACGCACTGTTTTTTAAGTGCACGAAGTTATTCGTACTCAGGTGTGCAGCAGTATGAGAGACAATGCAACTGATTTCAACTTGATGGCGGTGCGGCAATTTTAGCGTTAAAACTTCTGTAGATATGAAGGATATTGTTACTGTATCTGTTCTCACGCACCCCTGAGTGGGAGTACAACTTTTTTATTTTATCTGCTCTGTTTTTAGGTGCATAAGGCTGCTTGTATTTAGGTGCGCAGCGTTATCAGGGGCAAAGCAAATTCTTCCAACTGGGTGGGTGCGTGACAGTCTTAGCGTTGTAACCTCTGTAATTGACGAAGGGAAGGGGGGGGGGGGGGCAACGCGCTTTTCACCTCATGTTCCCATTTACTCCTCAATTGGGGTACACCATTCTCACCTTACCTGCATGCACTGAGTAGTAGGTACGCAAAATGAGTAAGGGGAGGCTGTGGGAGGGGCTGCTAAAACTTGTGAAATGATGAAACCTGACCCAAAGTTCATCAACAAACAGGTTTCTCTCCTAATTTGGCACACTTTTCTTAGTTGAGAGCTGTAGCCACATTTCGGGGTGGCCAGAACCCCCTCCCTTCCCTAGCGGAACAGGAAACGTGAACCTTGATATCGAGTGGTGATGGCAGCAAACCTTAAAGCATTTAAACCAGCAGATCAACACCAGGGAGGTGAACAGCCATGCTTTCTGGAAACTGCAATTACTGCGCTCCTGATCACTTCAGAATGAATGCAATTTTGAGCATCATGACCATGAAGGCATAGTGATCTGCAGGCTGATCTGTTTGTGGCCCTTCACGTCATGGAAAGCAAATGGCTTTTCCTGCCTGCTCACACCACCTTATGTCAGAATGATTCGTCAGTTAATAAAACATCAAAACTCAACTTTTCAACCAATGCATTCCTTGGACCCTTCCACAGCTGCGTCAGGTAGTATTAGCGTCAGGTAGCGTCAGGTAGTAGTCTTTTGTGCCCTGGAGGTGCTATTTTTTATTTATGTTTCCATGGGATAACACAGTGTATGCTAGCTACCTGGCCCACCTCATTAATCTTTTAAAAATGTGTATATTGCATATGCTTTCCTCCCTCTATCATCTCGTTTTCAGCCAAAAAGTTATCTAGCTTATCATGATTTGTGCGCTGTAGTGATTTGTGGTAGTGCTGAGGAAAAGCTAGATCAAAGGCACAGCCTGCGAAAGAAGTTGCAAAATAAGATGAAAATTTGTACACGGTGTTCAATGAATACCGTTGTCCGTCCCGGTGGCTCAGTTGGTTAGAGCGGCTGCGTTCCGATCCACCCACCCGTGGCGGGGTGGGTTCGGGTCGCTTTAGGGCGCTCGCTATTTGCCCTTGACAGGTATGGCCTGCGGCCGGTGGCAGCGGTCGCGTTAAAGGTCAGTTGACGTCAGAGGGCAGGACGGACCGTGCCGGGCATTGCGGCACGTTAAGCTTTCGCCACCAAATTCTGCCGTTGACATGGGATTGCGCGATCGGATGGTAGTGGTCAGGGCTCACACAACAAGCACTGCTTAGCGTGAGCTCTGATCCCGGAAATCCATCCATTCAAAAGGTTCGGATCAAATCTTTAAAAAAAAATAACTACCGAACTAAAAGCTTGAAGTGCACCTTTTGAACAATAGAGATGAGCAGAGGCGCAGCCAGAGGTTTCGTAAGGGGGGGGGGGCACAGGGTTGACATAGGACACCCTGGTAGTAAAATCCCGCCCCCAAAAAACATCACATACGACCCATTTGCTATTGAGAACATGTCTTTCTTTAAGAGCTCAGACCAACACGGAGCTGACTGTTCGTTGTTCGCGATATCTGACCGAAATAGAGGAGCGTTGTGTCTCAGAGGTCCCTATCGGTGCAAAAGATTATCTTAATGTCGCTTGAGATCATGACCCTACGGGCGGGGGTCCTTAACGTGACCTACAGCCAGCCCTTCGGACTCTTCAACCATCCCGTCGGGCCCTTGATATTTGGTCTCGAGAGACCCTTCGGCCCCTCTTTAGGCGCCCTCAAACATCGCTCTGACTCGGGACCGCTTGCCGCCACAGGAACCCTGTTCGACACTGTGGCCCCTAACCGACACAGAAGCCCCTCATTGTGCCAGGGACCCCGAACATTACAAATCGCGAGCCCCGGCCTTGTTCCTGCTTGGGAAATGGGTCTCAAGGGCCCAGACGGACATGGAGCCGACTGTTCGGTGTTCATGGTCTCGGATCGGCTTAAGCACCCGCATTGTCCCAGGGGGAGGGGGTCCTAAAACGGTGCAAGAGGATCTCTGAATAGTATTTCAGGTCACGACTCTGTGGGGCGCGAGCGACCTACAGTTACGCGACCTACACTCAGTCCTTCGGACCCTAATGCCCTCCAAACGGGCCTTTGATTGTCAGTTCCGGTGTGTCGCTCTGGATCCTCTTCGGGCCTTATCGAACACTTCCCTTGGTTGGCTCAGAGCCAGTGCGAGCACAGGACCTCCTGCTAGACGCTGTGGGCCCCTGACAGATACAAGGCCCTTGGCCAGTGTAAGCCACTGGCCCCGACTTTGTAGCTAATTGGAAAGTGGGACTCAGGCCCATACAGGCACGGATCCGACTGTGCGGTACGAGTGGTACCTGACCGACACGTAGGCCTATATCGACTCAGGGGTCCCCGATTCACGCAAAGGGCCTTCTGACCATTATTTGAAGATCCGCCTTCGCGGTTCTGGACCACTGAATAAGGCTCCGACCACTCCTTTATGCCCTTAGACCCTCCATTCGAGCCCTGGATCGTCCGACCCGGTGGGCCCTCTAGGCTCTTCGGGCCTTTTCAAACACTGTCTCTGGCTGGCGCAAGGTCCCTTGGCAATACAGGGCCCCTGGTAGGCGCTGTGGAAAGTGGGACTTTGGGCCCCTGGTAGGCGCTGTGGAGCCCCGATAAATGTAAATAGTTGGTCCTGGGTTTGTCCCTGCCTGGAAACTGGGCCTTCAGGTTCACGCCGCCACGCAGTGAACTGTACGTTACTGGTGGTGTCTGACCGAAATATAGGCCCTCATCGACCCAGTGGGCCCCTGATCAGTGCGCAGAGCCCTCTGGCTGGCATTTGAGTGCCTGGTCCTGCAGGCCGGGGCCCCTGGATGAAACCTCTGGGTGGCTTTTCGGGCCCTTAATCGTAGGTTCCGAGGGGCCCAAAGGGCCTCTCGGAACCTAAGGGGGCATGTGCCCCTGTGCCCCCCTTGCCTGCGCTACTGTAGATGAGTCAGTATTGGCACTCACTGTCAAGAAGAAGAAAAACTTATCAAATTAATGTTAAGCTCACATTGAACTGCAATTCAATCTCCAAAGTGTGCGAAGTTACAACATACAGATAATAGTACTGCCTACAGTGGGAAGCGTTCTACCATATCCAGTAAGGAAACAACCTACTCTTGTCAACCAGGGGCATTCCACGCATTCATTTCATTCGCCCCTTCGGCTCTATATGCTATAGCCGGGGGCCCCACTTGTTACCCCGCCGGGATATTCTTGGTTGCTTAGGGGCCATTCACGATGGCTTTGGTTATCCTTCTGACACACTCGCGAAATGTATACGCTCATGGGCCCTCTAAAATGGTCTAGCGCCCATCCAATTCTCTATCACTTGCTTAGGGCCCCGCGCTCTTGTCGGGACCCCATTTGTTGACCTGCTTTCGCACACTTGGTCGTTCGGAGCCCTCCAAATTGGGTCCTGGGTATTTTCTATTTGACCGGAGGGCCCCATGCACTTCTCGGGGGCCCGGTCTGTTGCCCTGCCCAGGCACACTGGATTGTTCGGGAGCCTCCGCGTTGAGTGTTGAATTTGCGACACATATTATGCCTGTGCATCACGTTCTTGATACATTTCAAATGCTGGGACATCTTATACTCCTTCACAATACGTAACACAAAAAGCCTTCAGCCATCAGCAAATCACATCGACCAGCCGGCTAGCCGTAAATAAGCAAAGAATCAAGTTCGTGCTTGCTTTTAATGAAAACATTACCTGTATCATCTCGTCTGTCGCATAATTTCCTGGCGGCATATGACATATGACCACAGAGTTATCCTAACTGTGGGTAACCTCTGGGTTGAATGTCTATTCGCTCCGCACCACAACTATGTCCCTATCTGTAATTTCGTTTGAGAAAACAGAGATCAGATGCTGGGGGTTTTGACAGGGTGTGTGATGTGTTATGCGCTGTTTCAGGTGGGCTGTGGGCTGCTCTTCGAGGTACCGTCCGGACAAAGCTACCAGGCGCTCTAGTGCAGACCCTCTACATCCTACGAACTGCTGGACAAAACAGAAAACTGCTGCAGAAACAAACACGCGACGCAGAGCCTTAAGTCCTTGGTACATGTGGAAACTGAGGATGACATTCAAAGCGAAGGGACTGGCACCTCTGCCAGACAGCAGAATGGGAAGCCAAGGGCGTCGTCACCTGTCGTACTGCAGGAACTTAGCCCGTTCTGACGTGCGACGAGCCATCTGTGCAAGTCCACACGGCCGCTAGCGAGGCGGCGCAGATCATGGCCTCTCTGGGCACGCACTAAGAAGCAGGTCCAGCTGACACTGTGAATACGACTTTGGGCAAACAACAGACTTGTCCCCGCATGTGGCGCCGGTCCGGCGTGACGGGGCGGAGGCAGGCGAAGAGAAATGCCCTTATGGTGGTGTGATGTGCGAAGACCAGGATATGACTGCGGTATTGGGCGATGGCTATGGTACGTGACCATTGGTCATACTTTGATAATTGCCGTGGTACGAGCTTGATTGCAGTTGTAGCAGTTAAGAGCAGCGCTTCTACTCTTGCTGTGCCGGCGGTAGCGGCGTTTATTGATGAAAACATTTTGATAAATTGTCCACTATACAAGTGCGACATACCAGCTAATGCCGTTGGTCTGTCTAGATGCCGTGCTCCAGGTTACGCGCTCAGCAGACTGCTTACGTAGCACGATTGGTATATTTATTGGCCCTGCTCTGCCCGCCAGGGCGGTGTTGATTACCGAGAGGTGATATCACAAGTTTGTACATGCATCCTCGCAACTTTTTCGTGTTTCGCGAACGGTAAATGCGGAGAAAATTGAAATAAATTATCCGCATATATGCGTTCAACCGTATTTGTTAAAGCTTGGCAAGGCTAGGTAGTCTTATGGACCCTTACTGTTACTGACATGACTGATATCACCTGCATGTTAAAATAAGTGTTGCCACAGAAACGATTGCTTAGACTATCGTTCTCGTCCAGGGTGTCAGTAAGCGCAGAACGTTTCACAACATTGTGCTCGCTTGAGTCAATGGTGGATTGCTGGTCTCGTAATATCAAGATCCCGGTTCGGGTCCCAGCAATGCGATGGGGAAAGTCGAGATGTCACCTGTAGCCGTTGAGAGGCCGGCGCGGAACGCATTTTGCAACATATTCTCCGAAATGCTCGGAGGTTTTCATGGCCAGCTACCGCATGCCCAAACGAGAGCCCTGCTTCACATCGTCTTTCACCAATGAAACCATATGTGATGAAATTAGCCGGTTCATGCGTTGCGCTCGACAACACGGGGCAACTGAGCGTGCTGACCATATGCTGCCCAGACTGCTGCAGAATAACATTGTGTGCACACATCCTCTTGTGCCTTTGTCGCATCGCTGTTTTGTCCGGCATCGTCATGGTCCAGGCTGCCGAATGGCTACATGCATGTCTAAATGTTTTCCGTGTTGGAGTGTGACATGTGCATTAGGCAATTCAACTGTGCGCACGGAAAGAGATGTAAGCCCTGGTGGAAGTGTTTGCTCTTGTCTCCGCACAATCGTTTTTGCGCTGGTCGACTGGTCCCGCGCCTGCCAAATGCCCATTGATGTGGCTGAATATCTTCTGCGCGGAGGACCGCCGGCAGGAGCTCGTGACTTCCAGGCTAGTACGTACTCCACGGTATGCCGGCTGATGCCGGCAAATGAACGAGGCGAGTTTGCGCCGGTGACGATGGCTGATTGTGTGTGGGGGGGATATTAAGAGTGATTGCGACCAAACTGTGGTACAATGCGGAAATGTTTTGGGTGAATAGAGGTCACCTGTAACCGGGGTTTGCGCCAGTGGCATTTTCGCGGCTTCAGGTCACTGGGTTTAGGCACCAGCGCCTTTCATTCGAGATTAATTTCGAAAAACGCGGCATGGGCCGCTTCCCGGTCGAGTGGTTGCGTCGCCATGGGTCTGACAGTGTTGGACTGACTGGGTGATCGATTGACGGTACACGTGGCTCCTTCACGCGAAAACAGATAATGTGCACCACATACGTGCATAACCAACCAGGCTCCATTTGCCGCCTATTGCTAAAACCAACGACACCGAACCAATATCATCGCTCATCCTCCGTATCAACCTCAATATTTTCATATCAGCTCGCCAAAAATGCAGGTAAATGCGACGGCGCAAGGACCGGTCCCTAGTTCGATGAGTGCAAATCATAATCGGGTGTTGCTGTAGGGGGAAGGCCGGGCCTGAGACTCATTGGTCAGACCCCTACAATAATGCCCCCCCCCCCCCCCCTGTATCGGTCCGAGATCCGCAGTGCCTAGCAGGGTGTCCTGTGTCGACAAGAGAGCCTGGGGCGGTCAGGGAAACCTGTGTAAACCTGTGTGGAAACCTATGTCGTTAATTGTCTTGTGTCAGTCACCGTCCCGTCACTAACGACGGGCCCTCCAGCCCAGTTCTAACCATGGGTCCGTTAAGCTGACCTCGAGTCTTTGTACCAATTTTTAGACCAGCTGAGGGGATCAAGGATCTTGTTGCGATATTGAGGGTTATGGCATCGCTCCAGGGCTGATTACGCGGGTCAGAAGACCTCCACGTCAGAGAGTGGGGCCTGTGCGATATAATGTAAACCTCTAAGGGCCTCCGGATCGACTAGGGGACCTCAGCCCCGTCGTGAAATGATACCTCCAAAAGTTATTTTTGCATTAATTCACACCATTCAAGACTGGACCTGACGCTGCTTTTTCTGTAATCTTGAGGTGGCGTTCTGGACGTATTAACAGTCGCAGCAACACCAAATATGCTTTACACTGATCAAACTAGGGACCGGTCATTGTGTCGTCGCGTTGACCTGCATTTTTGCGAGCTGATGGGAAAAGATGGAGGTGATATGGTATGTATTAAGTATTAGGGTGATGAGCGATGATATTTGTTCGGTCTCGTTGGCTTTTGCAACTGGTAGACAAATGGAGTGTGGCTGTTTTTTCACATTTAGGGTGCGCACTTTCTGTTATGGCATGAAGGAGCCACGTGAACCGCCAACCACTCACCCAGTAAACCAACACCGTCAGGCCCATGGCGACGTTGGCCATCGACCGGGAAGTGGCCCATGCCGCGTTCTTTTAAAACCATCTCGAATACATCACGTTAGCGCCAAACCCGGCGAGCTGGGTCCGCGAAAATGTCACTGGCGCAAATCCCGACTCACGGTCACCAGCATCCGCCAAAAGCTGTTCCACATTTTACGGTGGTTTGGTCGCAATGCTCAAAATGTCCGTCACTGCACAGGTCCCCTTTGGCGTCTATGTAACTTGCCGTGCTAGGTTATCGTCATCTTAACGGCAACGCATTGACCTGTAGGTCACGAGTTTCTGCTGGCAATCCTCCGCTCAGAAGATGTTAAGGCGCATCCACCGACATTCGGCAGACACGAGACGAGCTGAACAGGGCAAAAACAGTCCGGCTGGGAAACAGCGAACATTTTCACCAGGCTTACATCTGTTCTTGTGTGCAGCTGCCGTAATATATTTAAAAGGGTAGTTGGATTGGCTAATGCGCATATCACCTATGTCACACTCGAGCGCGGCGATCATTTTGACATGCGAGTGGCCATTCGGCAGCCTGGAGCATGGCGATGCGGGACAAAACAGCAATGCGACTTTAACATAAGGGTACATGTGTACACACGCTATTCTGCAGCAGTCTCAACAGCGCATGGTGAGCACGTTCAGTTGGCCCGTGCTGTCGAACGCAATGCATGGACCGGCTAATCTCATCACATGTGGTACCATTGGTGAAAGACGGTGTGAGGCAGAGCTCTCAAGTTGTGCATGCGGCAGCTGGTAATGGACGTCTCCGTAAAGCCTTGGGCCAAAAATGCATGTACAGTTTTTTTAAAAGTATTAGGCAATGGAGAGACACAGAACTTTGGTTGGCATTAACCACCACATCTGGCACCGGCCACCTGATATTTCAGCCGAGCCCCTCTCCCATTCAGAGATGTTAGACTCGTAACTCAGCGACACTGGGTGCCAAAGCCAAGGCGGGTGCATTTTTTGACCGAAATGGAATGGAAAGTTCCGATAACAACTGGCCAATAATGGTCAGTCTAAGCCCGGGACGGCCGTGCCGCCCCCGCAGGGGCACCGGCTTCGGTCGGTGTAGGGGACTAGCGCCCCCTCGGGTCCCAGCTCCGGTAACGGGTGGACAGCGCAAGCTGTTCCTCTCAGGGCGTAGCGACCCTGCCGGTACGTGAGCCCCTTCTCCTTGTCCCGCTCGCTCCCTCCCCATTACCCATTTTCCCGCATCCGGCCCACTCATCACTCCTGATCCTCGTTTTATCGGGGTCGCCGTGCCCCCTCGCCCTCGTCCTCTGGTTGATCGGATCCTGGTGGCTGAGGGGCGCGTCGTGCGGGTCAGTCACGGCGCGTCCCAACACTCCACTTTGGCCAGGATATCCGGGGGCGCGGGGGCCCGTGGGGCCCCACACGGGTCTAGCGGCTTGTCGCTCGCGTCGCGGTTGGGTGCTCCTTGCGGGTTCCGCTTGGGGCGCCTGGCCGAGCGCAGCGGCTTAAGGGGTCAAGGGGCGGCGGCGCTGAACCACGGTCAGGACGGGGAGGGGTCTCCCCGGTTACACCCGGCCGTGTGGGAGGCGTCGTCCGCCCCGTATAGCACCGAGGTAGCCCTGGCGGCACCACCACCAACTGGTGAGTGGGCCGTCCCCCAGTTGGGCTCCGAGGTGGGTGGGGAGCCCCGGTGCCGAAATAAAGAACAACCTTGCATGGCATCTACAAACCCAAAAAACTCCCGCCCCCCGAGAGGGGGACGGACTGCGATGAATTTAGGGTGCAGCGAGGAGTCGGTTCCACCTGCCCCACGCGTTCTTGTCTTCCGGAGTGATGTGAAGAACCTGGCATCGCTTTCACCGTTTCAGCGCCGAAACGGATGCGACAGGGTGGGAAAAGTCACCCGCTGTGACAAGCTGAGGGACGGCGCGATCGAAGTGGAGTTCGCAAACGGCAC